AACCTTCATAGATAGACCATATGTAATGACCGTTGCTGCCCCAAACCAATACAAATTGGGCATCAGACAGGTTTAAGACTGTGAAAATTAACAAAATAATTTATAGCAAAAGAAAACCACCTGTTACATAAAGTAATAAATAAATATTACAAGAACTGATTCCATATCAACCAAATAATCACTTCAAAAGGGTATTAGTTTGAAGGAAAACATAAACAATAATAATAATAATTTAACATATCAGTTCAGTTCCCACTTATTCAGTTCATATCTTTCACACATCCACAAAATACAAGGAGAGAAATGTGTGCTGACACTGGTCACACTGAAGTGGATTTCCACACCAGCCAATTCGCTTGTCCACATTCACTCAAAATAAAACTAAATCTTAAAGATTCACAATACTTCATACGGTTACCCATAACTCTCACTTTCTGCAAACCTCATCACAGGAAACTGCGTTAATTGGTGACATCTCTCTCTTTCAGGTGCGATAGACCTCGCCTCCATATTCACTTTTCCATCATTAATTGACTCCCAATTCCTTTATTGGGAATCCCCATTAATTGACTCCACCTCAGTTTTGAACAAACCTACTACAAACTGACAACAAACACCACAGGAGACAGGAAGTGACATAAAAGTCCAGGGCAAGGCACAGAGAGCATGAAACAAAAACAAGAAAGAGTTGATTTGTGAAGAGAGCAATCACGTTTATTTTCTAAAACCAAAATAAAACTGAACACCTCAAAATTACAAAACAAAACAAACAAAAAAACAATATCTTTCAAAAAGGTCTCTTCAGTATAATGGATAAATAAAATAATGTTAAGTAAAATTAAAAAGCCAAAGCCTTCTTGCAGTGGATGTGCTGGTTTGGGCCTCATTGCCGGCTGCAGCCATGTCCTCATCTCATATATAAAACACCTGTCATTCACAAATACTTTCTAAGGAACTCGCATTCACATAAAGTAGCCTTGTTGAATCATTCAAAAATGTAGTGAAGCAGAGAGTAAAAGTTGCTAATATCTTTGATACTCAGTACAACTACAAAGTATCCAAAAAGATACTCAAGTACAGTAACTAATTACATTTACTCTAATACTTTACACTTCTGGTTAGCTTTAACTTTTCGGAAATTAATTTTTAGTAAAATCTCTGTGTTTATTGCAACTCTTTTCGGGTTTTTGGCCAGATTGACTCAGACACTGCTGGACACATTCGGTAGTCAAACAAACCTCTGGTGTTTATGTGTAATTAATTCTATGTTGAGTCAAATAAAATATTTATTTCTAATGATATTTTAATGTCTATTTGATGCTTTTCTCATTTAACACAATAATGACTTTAAATCCTCCTTTGAGGGTAAATTCTTAGCGAAATTCGATGTGTAATTAATCAAATTAATTAGATTAACTGCCACATTTCTAATGGCGCTTTTCCACTACATGGTACGGCACGGTACGGTTCACTTTTGGGTGCCAAGCCGAGTCATACCACGCAGTGGAAAAGTGCCATAACACTATGCTAGCATAAATTAGCATGTTGCTAGCATGATTCTAACATACTTTAATACAATAATAGCATGAATTTGCATTTGTTGGCATGTTTTTAACGTGTTGTTAACATGAATTATGTTCTGTTGTAGGAAAATTAATGTTTTACTCTTTCTTATTTACTTTCTTAGACATTGTGTGGGTTTTTATATTTTTTTTTTATTTTTCCTTTTGATTTAACTTGTGTTTCTCTCTCAATATGTATATATATGTCACCTGGAATGCAACAAAGACATGCGAAAGAACTGCTTTTACTGTGCCAAGAGTTCAGCCCGACTTCACAAGAACTGAGACGGATGCTGGGTGTGAAAATGGGTCCAGCGAACTGGCATAAGCTGAGCGGAAAACTGGCGACAACGGACGTGAGACGTGTGGACACAGACTGGGACCATGCGAGCAACGAACCATACAGGAAAGAAGTGGAAAATTTCACTAACGCAGTAAGCGCAGCATTTCCTCCGCGTGTGGACACTGAAAAGATTACATGCTGCACTCAGGAGAAGGATGAGTCTGTCAGCAGCTATTATTACAGAATATATATATATATATATATATATATATATATACTGTATATGAAAGCCTGGGCAGACACAAAAACACTTCCTATGTTAATGCAAGCTTATTCTCATGATGTCACGTGTGTGGTGCTATAAGGAGCACAAGACGACGGAGAATTCCAAATAACAGTCCTTTAATAAATCCACAGAAGAAATACTGGAGAAGCTTCAGGGAAAATGCAGCACAACCAACATCTAACATCAGAGAATAACCGGCAAAGGACTGAACAGAACAGGGAGAACTTATACAGAAACTAAATGAGGGAACTAATGAGATGATTAACGAACACAGGCGAACAGAATAAATGGTCCCACTTTATATTAAGTGGCCTTAACTACTATGTACTTACATAACAAAATAAGTACAATGTACTTATTGTGTTCATATTGTATTGCAAAACACTTTTGCTGCTATTGAGGTGGGATACGGGTAAGGTTAGGGACAGGTTTGGTGGTATGGGTAAGTTTAAGGGAGGTTTAAGGTATAAAGGGATGGGTCAAAAGTGTAATTATAAATGTAATTACAGAAATTAATTACAGATGTATTTACATGCAAGTATTTTTAAAAATATAATTACAATGTAAAAACATGTATGTACACAGTAAATGCATTGTATTAAATGGTTAATTTAAATGTAAGCACATAGTAGTTAAGGCCACCTAATATAAAGTGGGACCGAATAAACTAATCAAGGGTACATGGAAAACTAGGTCAAGAAATGTCTATGACTGTTACACATGATGAACTGCCTTTAACTGAAAATTGAGTGTTTACTATTGTCATTTTACATTATTGACACAATATTTTCCTAATTAATGCTGTACAGTTGCTTTGACACAATCTGTATTGTTAAAAGTGCTATATAAATAAAGGTGACTTGACTTGACTACACAAATAGCTGAATTTTCTCAAAGTAACCCAAAGTTAGCTTTTAGTTTTAATTGTTTGTATCTGAATATCCACTTAATCCAGCGCTGTTTGTTCTGTGCTCTTAATTATCTTAATACAGACTGCGAAGAAAACGCTTCAGATGATTCAGCACTCCAGCTTGTGTGATATTGCCCATATATGTGTGTGTGTGTGTGTGTGTGTGTTAATGCTGTCAATCTAATTATTTAAAAATAAATAATTTAAAACTAATTTATACTCTTTACACAGAAGACAAATTAGCGTTCTTGGGAGATATGTTCCAGTAAGCCAGCTTGATCAATTACCAAAGAAGCATATCAAAATTATTCAGGAAAATATTTTATCAAAGTTGTAAAATGTTGTGCTGCAAAAATGAGTACACCCACCTGAAAGTTACAAAATCAAAGTAAATAAAAAAACATTTCTGGTGCAAGTTAAATGCAATTAAAGCATGTAAGTATGTTGAAATGTAAAAATAAAGCAAAATTAACAGAAAATCAAAAACATTGGACTTGTTACAAGGTCCCTGAAATAATCAGGCCTTCACTTTAAGCTTTCACTTTAAGAGATGAGTGATTTTTGCAAGAAAAAAAGCAGGAGAAATACCAAGCAAATGTCTAAAAGCTGGCAAAAGCTATGAAAAGAATACAAGATGCAATATGCAAAAGTGAAATGCTTGCTTGTTGTCCACACTGGGAACTACCTACAGTAGCCAAAGCACAATAAACTCATTCAGCCTTTTCCAAGGCCCATATTTACAAAATATAGATGTCTGAGAATCCATACTCTAGTCTCATGAGACCAAGTCAATCATATTGGATCTAACAGCATCCAAAATGGTATGGCGCTGCTAGGGGTCCTCCAGTGAGAAGACAATGAGAGGTGTCTTGTTTTCACAGTTCAGTGGCAAAGTTCTTTATAGGGATGTATGAGTGCTGAAGGTGTGAAGGAAGGTGTCATGAACTCACACACCAATGTGTGATGTAATGCAAAAACATAAAACAGAAGATGCTACCCCTTTCTCATTCCCTGCATTGTTGTGTTTTTTTTTTTCAACATGACAATATACATTCTCTCATGGTGGGGTCCTCCAGTGAGAAGACAATGAGAGGTGTCTTGTTTTCACAGTTCAGTGGCAAAGTTCTTTATAGGGATGTATGAGTGCTGAAGGTGTGAAGGAAGGTGTCATGAACTCACACACCAATGTGTGATGTAATGCAAAAACATAAAACAGAAGATGCTACCCCTTTCTCATTCCCTGCATTGTTGTGTTTTTTTTTTTCAACATGACAATATACATTCTCTCATGGTAAAAAAAAAAAAACTTTTGTGGACAAGTGTTTCACCCAATCATAACACTCTTGAGTACTTGTGGGGGATTTTGAGACAAGTTGAGCAACACTCCCTATTAAAGATCAGAACATTTAAGGAGGTCATCCTCCAAGTGACAAATTGTCATCAACTTGAACACTCAATGCCAAGAAGGGTCAGAGCAGTATACTTTATGTTATGGAGGACATAATAAGTCCTAGAATATTACACATTTGGTGAATTTTAACTCACAGCGTTTGTCAGAAGCAGCATTTACTGTAAATCGAGTCACTCTGCAAACAGCCAAGCTGCATGAATGTAAATGAACACAGTGCCGTTGTTTACGCTGACATATGCAGCACAATAGACAATATACTTCTTTAATTATATTACAGCCATTTATTTGATAATATATCGCTACTTGAGTTTTATTTAGATTAACTGTAAGATTAACCCCCTGCAGTTCCCTCAAGAGCCCTCAGAGGTTTGCAAACCCCTGTTTGGGAAACCCTTGTTTAAAACATAAACAATACTATGTGAATGTGAAAACCCAAGGTAAAGAAACGTAACAAATCACAGAATGATCTCTAAAAATCAGCTGGTCATATTAAGGAAGAAAAATCCAGTAATTACTGATGAAACTATTATATCTATGTTATGTATTACCTGAATGGAGCAGTTAAGAGCATGTGAGAGTTTGTGTAACTCCTCCTCCACACGTTGGCAGATGGGGCAGTGATCGCCATGTAATGCAACACTATTCACCAGCAAAAAACTGTAAAAAAATAAAATACAATAAATAAATAAATAAAAAATACAGGGACCCAATTACCTATTTTTTGTTTAAATTCGTTTTTGAGCAAGTTTATAAATATTCACAAAACAATGACAAAGTATGGAAATGCTTAGTTAACATTAAGAAATCATAGTGGGTATCATGGCCGCAGCATCAGCATGGCAGCCTTGCAGGATGGAGTTGCGCATTAGAAAGAACAAAAAGACCTTGAGGTACGCTCAATTGAGGATGAACTTTCAGTTTTAGAAACACAAATACAAATACTTATAAGAAATTATCCTTTGAGACCCCTGGTTTTTGGACAGGGATGCAAACTTAATAACATTGAAGTCATTGTCTCCTCTAGAAACAATAAAATTAGATTAAACTGGAGAAAGTCAAGGATTATACCAATACTGAGAAGAGATTTGAACAGCACCCCATGTAAGGCTTATTTGTAAAATGAAGGAAGACTGAAGATTTGAGTATTTGGAAATAGAAGTATCAGAATGTTTAGTTCTTATAGTATATTAACCCTCTAAGCAAAACCTGTGTTTTATTTAGGGTAGGGTATCGTTTTAAATTTAGCAATTCTGGCTCCTATTCTGCTTATTTACGATTCTGAATCTTAAAGATTCCCAGTTTCGATTCTAATAAGTTATAAAAAAAAATAAAAATGAAGTCATACATTTAGATACCAACATATTTATTCTATTTATTTATTCTAATGTTCTGTTGCAGCTGAGTACCATGAGTTTCCCACAGACTTACACTCCTGAATGGAGCAGTGGCGGCACTTCGCATGGAGGATATATATATATATATATATATATATACGTATTTACATACATACCGGTTCATATTTACTACTCTGCTCTGCTTATAAGAAATTGTCTTTCTTCGAAATTATCTGTGTAAAAACATCAGTGGATTTTCGCATTGGTCTGAACGAAAACAGCAGACAGGCTGATTGAAAATTCAAATTCATTCTCTGCCGGCAGGGGGCGCTTTTGGAGCGGCAGAAATAGCGGTTTCACCGGTAACGACTATAATCAAAGCAGCGCTGCACTCACAAACGCTACTTTATCAAACATTATAGGAGAGATCTTAGATTACATCTAAGCTTTTCTGAAGACAGTCAGTTCCCCTCAAAGATACATTAATATGAAAACACCCATCTTTTTGATTTTGAAACATGCAGTGGCTGATGTTTATTCAACAAATAATTTTCTTGATTTTCTTGAGGAAAATCTGTTTGTGGTGGTCAGTTTTGATATTGTGGTGGGCCGCCACAAATGAATCAATGTATGGGAAACACTGAAAAAGACAACCCCTTCAGAAAGCAAAAATAGCAAATAGAATCAGAGGGAAAATAATTTTGCTTCGAGAATCTAGATCTTATGGTTCAAAAGTTATTAGCATAAACATGAGTGCAATTTTGAACTGCTGGTGGTGCTAAAGAGTTTGAGTTAGATATTCCGAACTTGCTATGATTAATGGGATAGTTCACCCAAAAATGAAAATTCTGTCATTAACCCTTGTGTGGTGTTCATATTTTTGTGACTCACCCAGTGTTTGTGGGTCTGGTGGACCTGCTGCAGTTTTGGGTTTTTAATTCAACACAATCAAAAATTATATGTTGAAATACTCAACAGATGCTTACTTCATCCCAATTTCAAGCAATATAAACAGCATATATGGTCAAAATTTGCCCATTACCTTTGTTAGATCACATTTATGAATTAATAATAATAATAATAATGTTATATTTATATAGCACCTTTCCAGAGCTCAAGGACACTTTACAATAAACATCAGAATTGTGAGGATAACATCAAACAATAATACAGAAAGTAAAGAGAACATCAGACATCAGAGAGTAATATATAGATAAGACAATATAAGACAGAATAAACAGAAGTTAATTTAAGAAAGATAACATTCTGAAAACAAGTGAGTTTTGAGTAGCGATTTGAATTCAGACAGGCTATTGGCAAGACAGAGTGATCTGAATTAAAGTGCTACAACCTTGTGCAGGAATGGCAGGGGCAGAAACACAAAGCTCACACTTACACTCACACTCTTACAGACTCTCTCTCTCTCTCACACACACACACACACACACACACACATACACATACTAACAGCAGGCCCAGACAATAGGAGGACAGAGTAAAAATTTCCAAATCTTTTATAAGCCCCGGGTCCAGTGGACACGAACATACTGTATGTAATATAAATGTGTAGGGGGGGGGGGTGTACAGTGAGTGGTCATTGAAAATTTGTTCTGATATATGATCTTCACAGAAAATGAGCCAAGGCCAAAGAGTCTGAGTTTGAAAAAATAATTAATAGTATAATTTTTCTTTTGATACAGACCCGAACACCATGTAAGGGTTAATTACTCACCTCATGTCGTTCCAAACCCGTAAGTCCTTCGTTCATCTTTGTAACACAAATTAAGATATTTTTGATGAGATCTGAGAGTTTTCTCACCCTCCATAAGAAAGGTAACTACCACAGTCAAGGCCCAGAAAGGTAGTAAGGGCGTCATTAAAATAGTCCATGTGACATCAGTGGTTCAACCATAATTTTATGAAGCTTTGATGATACTTTTGTGTGCAAAAAAACAAAAATAACGACTTTATTCAACAATTCTTCTCTCCCGAGTTACCATCTACCGCCATTATGGAGAGTACCACAACGCATATGCGTGCTTTCCTCTGCTCGTAAACAAGGCGCAGCGCATGCGTGTTCTACATCAGCAGCATTACGCGCATGCGTCATGTTACTCTCGATAATGGCAGTAGATGGTAACTCGCGGGAGAAGAATTGTTGAATAAAGTTGTTGTTTTTTTTCTTTGCGCACAAAAAGTATTCTCTTAGCTTTGTAAGATTACGGTTGAACCACTGATGTCACATGGACCATTTTAATGATGTTCTTACTACCTTTCTGGGCCTTGAACGTGGAAGTTACCTTGCTGTCTATGGAGGGTGTCTTATAAAAAATATCTTAATTTGTGTTCCGAAGATCTTACGGGTTTGGAATGACATGAGGGTGAGTAATTAATGACATAATTGTTATTTTTGGGTGAACTAACCCTTTAATGTTGAGAATGTCTTCTATCTGTGTGCCAAATTTAATAACTTTCCCGCAAGCAGTTCTATGGGCTGCCATAGACTCAAGAAGAAAAGAGAAGAAGAAGAAAACTACTGGATACAAGAGGTGCCTTCGCACATTCGGTGCTTGGTCCCTAATAAGAACAAATAAATTAATTAGCAGTAGCACAAATAAATACAACTAAACAAAGTTCAGGTACAGAAATTTAAATCAAATGTAAACAAATGTAAAATAACACATCATTGTTTTCTTTTCTATAAAATATAGATTAATCCTTATTAAAATTTATAAAAGTTGATCAGTGAAGATCAGTGAGTGATTTTCTTTTGTTCTTTTATTAACATTAATGGCACAGAGAGCTGGAATGTTAGGTTGCTTCCACTTTACAAGGACATTACAAGGATAGGACACAAGGACATTTTTTGTGTATTTGTCTGTTCAAGTGCAAGAAGATGCAAAAGATAACTCAATATTCCATTATATGAGAGGCGGCTGTTTGTGCATAACTCTGGATATTTGCACAGCACAGAAAACAGTATGAAGCCTCATACACACCGGGATGATTATCGCGCGCACTTATCACCGTCGTTTTTCGACGCGTCTTTTGTGTTCATACCCAATTACGCTTTTCGCTGGCGATGAGCTGAGTGAACGTGCAAATTCACTCCCTGACATTAGATGGCGCTTAATGAAAAACAGAAATACCCCGTACACATCGAATCCTATTTGATCTGCAATTCCTCTCCATAACAACTCCCTCTTATCGAGATTTTTGTAGTCGCTGTCGCATTTGTCATAAAGCCCTTTGTGTTCAGACACCAATGAGACCAGCAGCTCTACATTCATCTTGCCTCGATGCATCTTCTTGGTCTGCTTACTTCCTCTTCATCGTTAGGTATCAATGTGTGCTCGGCAAGACCGTTTTGTGCTTGAGCGCCACCAAGCCGTGTTTTACTGTAACTTCAGCAGCTCCAGGCACGTGAACAAAAGCGCCAATCTCATTGGTCGGCCAGTTTTTAACGCGGCGCGTCAAACCAAAAAAACGAGTCCGAGGCGTTTTTTAAAAAATGACGCTTTTACGCCTCGCGTTTTGCGCATTGTGCACACTTACATTGGCGCTCTTTGTTTAGTCACGAGGCATTAAACGTCAGCGATAATCGCGCGCGATATTTGTCCCGGTGTGAACAAGCCTTGAGAGTGCCAAATTGAGCTCTCCTTTGCATCTTGCACTTGAATGGTTTAAAATCACATAAAAATGCATATGTATTAATTGATTAATGGGAGACTAAAGCGCATGTCTTGTCGAATCCATGGTCCTTGGAAATGTTGAACTGGTACTGGATACCCAACCCTAGCTTTATATTGGGGTTTTCTGAACTTTTAACTTTGTGTGTCACCAACTATGATAAAATCCTCATCGTGGGTGATTTTAATTTTCATGTTGATAAAGTTGATCGTAAAGCAGTGCAGTTTTTAGAGGTTATAAATTAATTTAATTTTACTCAATAAGTCAAGTGCATATGCTTGATGCTAACAGAACTTCAGAAAGTTGTTAACGAATGTAATTCTACTACTTCATCCATCGACCCTGTACCTACAGCTTTTTTTAAACGGGTTTTTGATTGTGTCTCAGGTCATGTTTTATATATCATAAACACATCTTTGCAGACTGTTTACTTTCCTGGGGACTCATTTATAAAACTTTCCGTAGATTTCATCCTAAAAGTGTACATAAGCACAAAAGCATCTCCACCCCATCTCCTCCCAGAAATCACCATATATGGAGCTTACAACGCCTAGTTTTACTATGCATAACCTCATCTGCATATCATTTCCATGCATATTCCCATCCACGTGACACCATGTTTAACACCGTCAAAGGTACAACACATTAAGGGGATACAGACTATAAATGCCATTTGTTACATACACATTCATTTTTATTGCTAAAAATCATCCTGTATCCTTGTTATGTTTCAAAATAAATATATAAAAATATCCATAAAAACTGTTTTAAATAGTTCTCAGATGAATATTTTTGAATTTTAGTTGATTTCATTCATTCATTTCCACTGGCCAAATGATATTTTGATTGTTTTAAACAATTCAAATTAAATTAAATTTATGCAGTTTTGCTGATAAGTGGAAACATAGGCCTATATTTATTGCAATGTAAATACAATTGTCTGACTCGCGCCTCACTGACAAAGTAGCCTATTTTAAAAAGGAAATGTGCAAATATTACCGTTTTCTTCAAATTGTATCTTTCAAATACAGTGGTATTTTTTATAATGTTGTGGAGATGCCTTCACACAACATCAGCATGAGATCAGCAGTTTAATTTAAAGATGAATTATTATGCACATAGCACTCCTCGCTGTCATTAAAACATAGCATGCCACAGGAAAAGTGATCAAGCGCATTCTCTACAAAGAGGCTATATGTCTAAATTAATATAATTTTGTTTTAACTTCTGCGTAGTAGAGTTATGTAATTTCAGTGCTTATCTCCACTAATGAGAGTGGAATATTTAATATAAATGTGTATATCGACATGAAAACAGAGTTTAAAATAATTTTTTAGTTCATTACTTTTCTCTCTCCAGGAAAAAAAGTCAGTACGCATGGGTCAGAGTTTGCGTGCAGGTGCGCAAATTTTCCCGTCAAGTTTGTTTTTATAAATCCCACCTTTTGCGTAGGAAGTGGCGTACGCCTCTTTCAGGGCAGTTTTTGTGCGTACGCAACAGTTATAAATGAGGCCCCTGATGTTTTTAAAACTGCTGTGGTGAGACCTATATTGAAGAAGCCTAATTTGGACAGTAATGTTCTGGCTAATTATAGACCGATATCTAATCTCCCATTTATTAGTAAAGTACTTGAAAAGGTGGTCACAACACTAATAAAATCTTTTCTTGAAGAAAATCAAATTATGGAAGAGTTTCAGTCTGGCTATAGAAAGTACCACAGTACCGAAACTGCTCTTATAAAAATAACAAGTGATCTTAGAGTTAATTCCGGTAAAAATAAAGTGTCGAATCTTATCCTTTTAAACTTGAGTGCGGCATTCGACACAATCGACCATGATATTTTAATAAATCGTTTAGAAAAATTGGTAGGCTTTTCTGACAACGTATTAAATTGGTTTAAAACCAATTTTAAGGGGAGAAATTTCACTGTTCAACTTGGAGATTATGTGTCTGAGAAAAATAAATTCCATTATGGAGTCCCACAAGGAAGCTGTCTTGGTCCTTTATTATTTTCATTATACATGCTGCCACTTGGTGACATCATCAGAGAAAACAATGTAAGTTTTCACAGTTATGCTGATGATACACAGCTATATATTTCTGCAGAGCCAAATGACATGGGGGCTATTAACTCCATTACAACCTGCCTCATGGCAGTGAATAATTGGATGAGTAATAATTTTTTTAAGTTAAATGAGGATAAAACTGATATTCTGTTGGTAGGTCCAAAGACAAAAAGAGAAATGGTGTATAAGAATTTGGTCAAATTGACTCCTTGGGTTCGCTCAGAGGTCACAAGTCTTGGTGTAATTTTAGACTCTAATTTAAGTTTTAATTCTCACATTTATAAGTAACAAAATTTGTAACAAAATCATCATTTTTCCATTTAAGGAACATTGCTAAAATTCGACCTCTTTTAAACTGGAAAGATGCAGAAAAATTAATTCATGCCTTTATTTCGAGTAGACTTGACCATTATAATGCACTTTTTACTGGTCTTCCACAAAAACAATTAATAGACTTCAGCTTATCCAAAACTCAGCTGCTCGGCTATTGACTAGAACTAAAAAAGAGAGCATATAACACCAGTTTTAGCTACATTGCACTGGCTTCCTATAAAATTTAGAATAGATTATAAAGTCCTCCTTATTGCGTACAAAGCCCGTAATGGCCAAGGACCTAATTATATTGCCAGTTCTCTTGTTAATTATACTCCATCAAGAACTTTAAGATCTTCCAATACAGGTTTACTAGAGGTTCCTAGTTCTATAAGAAAAAAAAATTGGTGATGCTGCCTTCGTAAATTATGTTCCTACCTTCAGATATTAGGGAAGCTAGCACACTCAGTATTTTTAAAAGGAAGTTGAAAACTTATTTTTTTAACTTGGCCTTCAGGTAGTTTACAGTGAAAATGTCTGTTTAATTGAATGTGTTGTGTTGTTTTACATATATTGTATACATATTGTAAGCTTGATGTATTTGTTTTATTGGATGTAATGTTGTTGTTTATTTAACCATTTATTCTTGATTATGTAAAGCACTTTGAGTCGCATTTTATGTTTGAAAGGTGCTATATAAATACGTTTATTATTTATTATTATTATTGATCTCATAATTTCACATGGAATTAATATTAATGTAAATAAGACAAATGATTTAATCTCAGATCATTTCTGTGTATTTTTTTTATTATGCGTTTTTTTTTTTAATATAGACTGTCTTCTGAAAATTATATTACTGAGATTCAACAAATGCCAATGTCTTAGTGGAATGCTTACTGTACATGAAGAGGTTAATAGATTTAATGCTTCAAAAAAAAAGTTATAGTAGCTCCAGAGAAAATTAAAAAAAAGATTAAAAGATAAAGATAAAAAATTAACTGCTCACCGTAAGATTCTTCTGACTAACATTTTGGAATATAAAAAACAGTGTGCTCTGAAAGATTTTTTTTGTTTTTAAACAGCCCTTATAATTATAATGTAACTATGTGTGAAAATTAACAATAAGAGAATACAGACTGGGTTGCTATTCATTACACTAATAACATTTCTATAGATGAATTATGAATTTATCCACAGCATAAAATGGAAATGTTCAGGACAGTTAACAAAAAAATCTTTAGCAAATTATTTCTCAGTTAAATTAGTCTACCAGCTATGTTGACCCTATACATTTTATTGTTTAGTAAGATTTTAGAAAAAGTTGTACTTCAACAGTTACTATGGTAAATACACAATTCTTGCATGAACTGTTAATATAACATATGAAAAATGCTCCTGGTTAATAGAACGGACATCACACATGCATGCAATTCCTTCCCAGCTAGTACCAGTTACATAATTTATTGGTACTTTTGGTACATTATTGGTACAGTATGCGCCAGCACATTAGCATGTGCAATTGAAAGGGTGCGGAAAACGAGCACAGTATAACAGCTGACAGGACATGAAAGTTTGTTTTTCTGAATATTTTTTCAAAATTTGCATTATACTTACATTTACAGTGGGGAAAATATTTATTTGATCCCTTGCTGATTTTGTAAGTTTGCCCACTTACAAAGAAATGAAGGGTCTGTAATTTTTATGGTAGGTTTATTTTAACAAATAGAGACAGAATCCAGAAACAACACATTATATAAATGTTAGAAATTGATTTACAAGAATTCTGGCTCCCACAGAATGGTTATGTGCCCATGT